CAGTTTCGGGACTTGGCGGCTGAGAAGCCGCACAGCTGCGGGCAGTGTGGGAAGCGCTTCCGCTGGGGCTCGGACTTGGCACGGCACCAGCGCACGCACACGGGTGAGAAGCCGCACAAGTGCCCCGAGTGCGACAAGAGCTTCCGCAGCTCCTCGGACCTGGTGCGCCACCAGGGCGTGCACACGGGTGAGAAGCCTTTCTCCTGCTCGGAGTGCGGCAAGAGCTTCAGCCGCAGCGCTTACCTGACGGACCACCAGCGCATCCACACGGGTGAGAAACCATTCGGCTGCAGCGACTGTGGCAAGAGCTTCTCGCTGCGCTCCTACCTGCTGGACCACCGGCGTGTACACACTGGCGAGCGGCCCTTTGGCTGCGGTGAGTGCGACAAGAGTTTTAAGCAGCGTGCCCACCTCATTGCCCACCAGAGCCTGCACGCCAAGATGGCCCAGCCTGTAGGGTGAGCAGCAGGTGGGACATGACCCTGCCCAGGAGGCGGGGGCTCCTGTGAGGCCTGGGCAGCGGCTCATGCTCCTCCTTGCACCTTGGGTTCTCCACCCATCTTTGGCCACCTCCTGAATGCCCAAGGGACCCCAAACTCAGAGCTTGCCTGTTCTGCTCTGAGGACTACCCAGTGCACACAGGAAGTGGAATTCCCCTCTGGTCCTTGTCTTTCTGCCTTCTGTTCCCAGGGGTTCTCATCCCTTCATTTTCTGGAACGCTGGCACATTCCTTGCAGGACAGCAGCGTGGTGTTAGGACTCAGGCAGAGCCCAGGGTCCTTTCCCAGAACCCTCCTCAACCTCATTTGGCCATGTGGTTCTTTGTCCTCTGCCTTCTCGGGTGGGTCCATGGGCTAGGTCACTCTGCCCTGCCAACCTGTGCCTTCCAGTGCATGTGGGGGACCAGCCTGGACCCCTCAGGGGCTGCTAGGCCTTGGGAGGTACAGTCGGCCCACACCTGTGAGGATGTGGATCTAGGCACAGCCATGGGCTTTTGGCCTCCACCCCCTCCCATTTCCAGGCTGTGACTACTCTGCACTGGCCACATGGAAGCTGCCTGCCTGCCTTTGCCCTCGGCCTACAGGTCTTCCATGTGAGCCCCTGAGAGTACACACCTGCCAGTCTGGCAGTGGCTCTAGTGACAGGAGGCCAACCCTGGAGACCAAGAATGGGTGCCCATCTGCCACTCACTTCTTCAGGGGCATGGCTGAGTTGTACTTAGCACTGGCACTCGCAGCACTTTGCTGCTGACTTCTTAGCACTACATTCCATAGTTTTCATCTGCACTGTTTGCAGATCTGCATTAACAGGGACAGACCACAGGCCTCCCAGGAGTGCAGCCAGGCAGGCTGCAGGAAGGCCGCAGAAGGTTTGAATAAATGTGGAAACTTCTCTCATGCTGTTCTGTTCTTAGGTGGCTGCTGGGAGATTGGGGTTACCTGAAATCCACATCCCTTGTCCCCTGACCTGGTAGTCCTGGTGGCACAGGATGCTGTGTGGTCACCAGGGGGAGCTACATCCTTGGCTTCCAGGTCAGCTGGGCCCCGAGAGGCGGCCATGACCCCTGGAGTGCCTGTCCCCTGTTTCAGCCAGTGCCTGCCCTGCTCTGGGGCACCCTCCCTGCCCCAACAGAACTCAGGGTCTTGGTCCAGACACTCCTCTTCCTGACTGGTGACAGGAGAAAAGGGCCTCAGGGACAGCTGACTTGGTTAGAAGGATGGGACAGTCGACTTGCCATTCCTCCCTGCCAACCCCTGACATCTGACTTCTCCCTACCGGGGCCACTAGCCAAGGCCCACCTGGAGCTGGTGGGTGTGTGGTCAGAACCAGTGAGCATCTAAGCACAACCCTTCCTTCCATTTTTGCTGACCCTGTCCCCTTTCACCTGGTGGCCTCAGGGACCCTGCCTAGGGGCAGTGGGGGCAGGTGGAGACAAGATACTCCTGGCCCTTGGTGACTGATCTGTGTGTGCCAGCCTCTGTCCCCCCAGACCCTTCCTCAACCAGCCCCCCCATTCATACATCATCTTGTGGTTGCTGGGAAAGTCTCAATTTCCCAGATGAAGCAACCGCGGTCTCACTGTGGACTCAGCTGATTCTAATTGGTGACTTTCGCCCTTAGGGGCTCAGCGCATGTAAGGGTGGCAGGAGCAGTACAAGGACTTTTTTGGTACTGCTGGCTGACTCCAAAGGGAGACACTGGAGTGTAACAAGATCAGATAGGAGCATGGGCCAGGAGCTAAGAATAGGCTTGGGCACAGGTTCCCGGCTCAGATAGGGGTATATCAGTGCCAGCCAGGAAGTCAATTAGAGCAAGAGAACCAGCCGGGGCTGGGGCAGCAGGACCCAGGGCTCCAGGGAAGGGACCAGAGTCCAACTCAGCTCACTATCAGAGCAATAGGAGTTGCTCAGGAGAGGGCAAGGGTTAAGGCCCTGGGAGCCCAGCAGGAGATAAGCTCGGTGCTCTGTACTTGGAAGACGCTCTGACTGACCCCCATGGCCTTCCTGGTGGCTGGGACCCTGCGGGTGGCCGTGCAGCTGGCAGATGCTCAAGACAGCCTAGGGAGAAAGGTAGTGGGAGGCACCGCCTGGCCCAGCCATACCTGATCCCTACCCAGCCCCTCCCTGCCTGCTCTGATCTTGCCTTCCCAGGGGAAGTACAGCATGCAGGGGCCAAGAGTGGCTCTGTCACTTAGCAGCCCCGGGGTGTCCGCTGCTGCAATTACTGCCCTGGAGGGTGTGTTCCGGGCTTTGGGCTTTGAGAGCTGCGAGAGAAGGGAGGCCTCAGTCCAGGTGAGCCCTCATCTTTCACCTGACCCAAAGGCCCAGCACCAGCCTCCCCCCATGACCCAGAACCCCCTGACTCAGGCCAGGCCTTGCTCTTGCCCCTAGGGCTTCCTTGAGGAGCTGGCTGGGTTCCGGGAGAGGCTAGATGCCCATGGGGGTCCTGTGGGCTGTGCCTTAGTGGCCTTGGTGGCCCCCAGTGGGCAGTTGCAGCCACAGCAGCTAATCCGGGAGTTGAGCCCCTGTGGAGCCCTGCAGGGGTGCCCCAAAGTCTTCCTGCTGCTCTCCAGCGGCCCTGGGGGTAAGTGACCCGGGCAGGAGCACTGGGACTGGGCAGGAGAGCCCAGGACTCCCTCTAGCTCAACACCTGCTCTCCATCCAGCCACCCTGGAGCCTGGAGCCTTCCTCACTGGCCTGAGAGAGCTCTGCAGCCGCTCTCCTCACTGGTCCCTGGTGCAGCTGCTAACAGAGGTGGGGGCCCAGAGGGGGAGTCCCAGGGGGCTGAGCTTACCACCTCCCCGAGCCTGTTACGGTTAGATTTGGTCACTCCCCCACCCCCATTCATGTATAGACCTTTATTGCCTAACAAATGGTGTCAGCTTTGGGTCCTTGACCCCCACCCTCCACTCAGGACTCCCCCAAATTTCAGACGCCTCCCACCTCTATGCCTTTGCCCAGGCAGCTCCTGCTGCTGGACATGCCCTCCATGTTTCCCTTCCAGGCTGTCAGTGATGTCCTTCCTTGTGCCATATTTGTGCTTTGGGCTGCCCTTTTCACACACAGACAGTGACTGCTCCTTTTAGGCTGTAGGACCCTGGAGGCTGTGGCTAGGACTGGCTCAAGTCTGTCCCCAGGGCTGAAGGTCTCCCTGGGCAGTTGGGTGGCCCTTGAGTGGTCCTGGAGGTGAGAGGTGTGCTCCATGGCGTGCCCAAGCCTGGCACCTACCCCAGGCAGCGCTCAGCCCGTGCACCTTCCTGGTAGGCCTGGCCCTGCCCTAGGGAGCGTCCTCATCTCTGTGCACTGATCCGTGGGGTGGGGGTGAATGGTATGGCCACTGTCCACTTGAGGCCACCCATGCCCAGGGAAGTTGTGGCCTTGAGCCTGAATGAGAGCCAGGTTTTGCTCGTGGCCACCCTGCTTCCCTGCCCTTTGCCTGCTGCCTCCTCCCTCCACCTGGCAGCTAACCTCAAAGCGACTGTAGTTGCCACGAGCCTGGGTGAGTCTCCCTTCCTGGCCACCTGCCTGGGTTGCACCCTCCCCCACCCCCCCAAGGAGCAGCCCCCTAAGGTCTCGGCCCCCCAGCTCTTCCACAGGGTAGCTGAAGAGTCCACAGGGAGTGGCTGCTGCCCTGTCCTTCATAGCTCCTTGCGGGGGTCACTGTGCCTGGGAGGCGCGGAGCCCTGGAGGCCTGAGGTGAGGGTCAGGGCAGGGGTTGTCATGCAGCTACAGTTTCATGTGGGACAGGGGCTCAAGGAGACTCAGAAGGGGAGACTAAGAGCTGGAGTCCCCTCAGACCACTCAGAACACACCTTCATCCTCCCTGTAGCTGGCTCCCAGCCCCAGCACTCAGTATGACCTGTCCGGGGCCAGGGCCGCCCTCCTCCTGGCTGTGATCCGAGGCCGGCCTGGGGCCCAGCATGATGTGGAGGCGCTGGGGGGCCTATGCCAGGCCCTGGGCTTTGAGACTACCCTGAGGACAGACCCTACAGCCCAGGTGAGGGGAAGTCCTCCCCTAGAACCCTGGGGATGCTCTTCTGACTCTCACCCATTACAGGCAGGAAGGGCACAACCAAGTCTAGCCTCTGCCCTTCCTGCCGCATGCTTTGGACAGTTGCTTCCCTGCTTCTGGAAGCCCGGTCTCCAGGGCTCCTGAGCCTCCTTCTCTGGCTGGTTTTTCTGCTCCCTGCTCGAAGCTTGACCTCTAAAGGTCTTGGTTTCCTTCTGGGACGCCCAACTGCCTGCTGCCCAGTCCTCACACCTCTGACCTTGGTGCAGCTTCCCTGCCAAGGCAGGAGGAGAACCAGCTCCGGGAGTCTGGACTTCTGTGTTCCTCTCAGTGAGGCCATGCTGGGCCTTGCAGCAGGGGTTAGAAAAGGGCTTCCTCCCCGGGGCCTGTGACGGGGTGGGAAGGGGCTGGGGAGGTGGCCTTGGCCCACGCCTCAACCTTGTTCCCATCACAGGCTTTCCAGGAGGAGCTGACTCAGTTCAGGGAGCGGCTGGACACCCGCGGGGGTGCTGTGAGCTGTGTCCTTGTGGCCCTGATGGCCCATGGAGGACCACGGGGGCAGCTGCTGGGAGCTGATGGGCAAGAGGCACAGCCAGAGGTGCTGGTGCGGGAGTTGAGCCACTGCCGGGTGCTGCGGGGCCGCCCCAAGGTCCTCCTGCTGCAGGCTTGCCGTGGGGGTGAGCGGCCAGGCTGGCCCCAGCTTTCCTCAGTTCCCAGGACTTGCTTCCCACCTCCTCCCGGGATCCGGAGTGTCTGTCCTTCCCCACCCCCTCTTCTTCCAGAGGCACGAACTTGAGCCCTGAACCCTCAACACTTGCCATTCGATGCTCAGGATGCTTCCAGCCTGGCGGGCCTGGCCACTGTGCACACTCTAGACCCTTTGGTAGCCCCGCGTACCCACTGAGTGAAGAAGCCATGTGCCTCTCCCCTTCTTCCCTAGGGAACAGGGACGCCGGGGTGGGGCCCACAGTCATCCCCTGGTACCGGCGCTGGCTGCGGGCACCTCCAGTCATCCCCTCCCACGCAGATGTCCTCCAGATCCAAACTGATGCCCAAGGTGGGCTCTGCCTTCGTTCCAGAGCCTGGCTTGGGTGGGCCTGCGGGTGGGAACTGTCCAGAGAGCATTTCCAGCTGGGGTCCTGCTGCCATCTGCGTCCTCTGTTTGCCAAGACCTTGGGAAGGAAGAGTCTTCCTAAAGGGCTAGGGCCTTTGGGAAGTGGGAGCTTCCTCCCCTCCTGGAGCCTTACAAGAACCCTGGAGTCCTCTAGGTGAAGTATGAGTTACGAAGTCACACTTCTGGTGAGTGGCAGGACTGAGCTTGGACTGAGCTTGGACTTCCCCTCTTTCCCCCCCTGCACTCTCTCCACTGCCCCGTGCTGCTTGGGTCAGAGATGGGGAGATCCCTGGGGCCGATGGGCTCCCAGGATGCTGGTAAGTGGAGCTGACTCCTCTTGCAGGCAGCTTCTCCGGGGGCCCCTCTTCAGAGAGCGCTGACCAAGCAGACATCCTGACGGTCTATGCAGCCACTGAGGGTGAGGAGATTCCTGCTCAGGAAGCCCAAGGTTACTCAGGGCCCAGCTTCCTGGCCCAGGATCTGGAGTAGTCTTCAGGGCAGCCAGGGCTGAGGGCTGGGGCACAGCGGCACCGGCCCAGTTGCAGTTAAGTCCTCTGCCCTCCATGGGTGACTGTCATCACAGCAGTGATGTGGGCCTGTGCCAGTCATGCTGTGGGCGCAATGTCCTCCAGGCTGTAAGTTCCACCACTGCAGCACAGATCTGTTTGCCTCAAAGCCCTGCCCAGTGCCTGGCACATAGTAGGCCCACGGTAAATGCTTGTTCAACAGTGGATCTCTCATGGATTCACTCTGCAAATATCTAGCAACAGCTTGTTCTTAGCTGGGGGCGGTGGCTCATGCCTGTAATTCCAGGACTTTGGGAGTCTGAGGCTAGAGAATTGCCTGAGCCCATGGGTTCGAGACAAGCCTGGACAACTTGGCGAGACATTGTCTCTATAATAAATAAAAAAAATTAGCCGAATGTGGTGGCAAATGCCTGTGGTTCCTCTTACTGGGAAGGCTGAGGCAGAAGGATCGCCTGAGCCCAGCAAGTTGAGGCTGCAGTGGCTGTGAGCATGCCACTGCACTCCAGCCTGGGTGACAGAGTGAGACTCCAACTAAAACAAAAAACAACTTGTTCCCAGTGCAAGAGGTCCCTGCTCCCTGCCCTGTTCTCTTGCCTGATCCTGGCATCCTGCCTGCCTGCTGCCCCCCTGCTGTCCCCAACAATAGGCTCCTGGGAATCGGAAGGCAGAAGATGGGGGCTTGCATCTGACACTCTCCTGGTTCCCTGACCTAGGCTGTGTGGCCTATCGGGATGAGAAGGGCTCAGACTTTATCCAAACGCTGGTGGAGGTCCTCAGAGCCCACCCTGGGGGAGACCTTCTGGAGCTGCTGACTGAGGTATGTCGGGAAGTGGGGATGGTGAGGTAGAGGTGTGGGATGTGCGCTTCTCCCCGGACCTGGCAATCTGATTAGAGAGCCACTTGTGAAGGAGGGGTCCCCACAACTGACACTGGGCAGTTGAGCCCCTCCGCAGTTGCCGGTCACATATACTGCAGTTGGGGGAGGAGACACCAGTCACCATGCAGGCCGGGTGGGGGTGGCTCTCAGCAGAGGAAACCAGCGGGGCCTGTGAGAAGCAGGCTTTGTACGGACAACAGGGTGAGACACTTCCTGGTTCCTGTAGGAGGATGTGATTGGTTTGTTTGAAATTTTCCCATGAGGCTGAGCACCAGGTGGGATGCGGCTGGTATGACTGACAGTGAACTAAGGGTGGTGGGAGTCTGTCCCACAGGTGAGGGGTATATCTGGTGACAGCAGGGGGTCACAAGGTTAGGACTTTGGGGCCCTGTGAGGTTCAGAGATGTCAAGGCAGCCCTTAAGGTGTTAGGCCTTGCAAGGCATCTGGCCAGGGGCTCTTTCCTGGGTGCCAGGCTGAGCTCCACAGACCCTGCAGCCCCGGGCACAGGCCGTGTGTGGTCCTTCAGGTCAATAGGCGAGTGTGTGAGCAGGACGTGTTGGGTCCCGACTGCGACGAACCCCGTAAGGCCTGCCTGGAGATCCGCAGCTCGCTCCAGCGCCGGCTTTGCCTGCAGGCCTGACAGCATTGCGGCCACCGGTGGTGCCTAGAGGGTGGCTAAATAACAGCACCACCACAGACTCCATCCACCCTCTTTTCCTCATCTGTGCTCCAGGCGTGGCAGTGGCACGCTGGTGCTTAGTTGGCATACAGTAAATGTGTGGTGAACAGTGCCTGTTCTCAGGGATGTGTGACATAAGTGACATAATGTATGCAAAATACCTGGCTCTTCCCAAGGGTGCAGTTGCGCCCCAGGAACCAAGCTGGGGCCTGTGCCCAGTATCCGAGATACGGAACCCAAGGTAGACTGGGCTGGAGTGGAGCATCGCAGGGGGTAAGGGGTCTTGGGAAGGGGCTGCACCCCTCTCCCAGCCGTGTCCCTGTGCATGCGCACGCCACCTCCACCCCGCCATGGAACTGCGGCAGACGCAGCCTCTGCCTTCCAGGCGGCCAGAGTCAAGCCGGGGGCGGAAAGCCTCTGACACAGACCTCGGGTAGAGGTGACAGCCCCTGGCCCAGCAGGCAGGCGGCACGCGGAGAAAGAGGTGTCAAAGGGCCGGGCGTGGTGGCTCACGCCTGTAATCCTAGCACTTTGGGAGGCAGAGGCGAGAGGATTGCCTGAGCTCAGGGGTTCGAGACCAGCCTGAGCAACATGGCGAGTCCTCGTCTCTACAGTAAATCAGAAAGTTAGCCGGGCGTGGTGGCGCACGCCTGTGGTTCCAGTTATACTTGGAAAGGCTGAGGCGGAAGGATCGTCTGAACCCAGCAGGTCGAAGCTGCAGTGGCCATGAGCGCGCCATTGCACTCCAGCCTGGGCGACAGGGTGAGACTCCGACTCCAAAAATAAGAGGAGCCAAAGGGACTCTCGGAGCAAAAGGAACCTTCTACCGGGGGGCTAGCCAGGGCTCGAACACGCAGTCAACAGCGCGCAGCCGCGGTCGTTGCGGAGCTGCCTCTGCCTCTGCCCTGCCTGTCTTGGCGGCCCAATCAGGAACCCCGCCCACCTGGAGCCCCGAGGGACGAGGCGCCTTCTCACCCCGCACATGCGTAGTAAGGTACACTACACAGACGCCTAAGAAAGCTTTATGAGAAAAGCTGCACGAAATGGAGGCGCCGGGCCGCGTGGCCTAATGGATAAGGCGTCTGATTCCGGATCAGAAGATTGAGGGTTCGAGTCCCTTCGTGGTCGCTGCAACGCTAGCTTTTCTCACTTTCAAAATTAAAAATTTTCCTTCATTCCTTGACCACGCGCTATGCAGACCTAGGACTCTCCGGCTGCGCAGCCTCTAGCCCCATATCGCCCCGGGCGCCCTCGGACGCGACCCAGTACCCTGCTGACAGTGGGGGCGGCACTGGCGCACTGCGGAGCCTAAGCCCGAGACTGCGCGACTGCAGGGACCCCATGGGCCCCTGGCTCTACCAATTGGAGCTCAAGCGGTGGAAACCATGACATTCGCGGAGTTGGGGTTGCCTGCGGTGCGGAGTTCCAGGGGCTCAGAGGACATACGCATCTTCAAATCTCACAGACGACTGTGAGTGAGACGTTTGGCATCCTCTGACATGGGGTTAAAAAAACAAAAACATTTCTGTAAATAGTGGTGACGGTTGCATAATAGCGTGAGTGTCATTAATGCCACTGAATTGTGCACTTGAAAAGGATTAAAGTGGCGAATCTTGCGTATATATAGACGCAGTTTTTAAAATGTAAAACAAAATATAATAGATGATTTCGATCTCCTGCCATGAGGGTACCTTGAAGCGACTAGTACTTTTTACTTTTTAAACGCAAAGAACATGTCCAGGATTGAGTTCACATTTCACCTGGAAAGAAATGTCTCCACCTGCTGACCCGAGTTCTCTCCGCGGAATTGGCTCATCGGAAGAATCCAGGTGTCGAGGCTCCTCTCGCGGGGCAGAGGCCGCGGAGGGTTGCAGCTGGAGGGTTGTTCTCCGGGCGTCGGGCGCTGGCGACCCGGGGGCTCGCGGGGTGTCACTTTCCCCTTGGACGTTTTGTGACGGTGCCGTGGCCCACTAAGTGCTCATACATATAAGGAAGAAAAACGTCATGAAAATACAGGTGCTAAATAAGGAAAATAAACACCCCACGTGGCCACCCTGAGATTAAGAGCGAGCTCGCCGGGGGCGTAGAGAGCGCCTTTTGGGGGGCCACGACTAAGGGACCGCAGGCCGCCAGGCAGCGCTCTTGGTCCGAGGGACAGTGTGGGAGGAGGATGAGGGCCGATGCTTTTCCAAGCAGAGCGCGTGTCGCGCGCCTCTTCCCCACGGACGCCATCCCGAGCGCGGTCTGCCCTCGTGGTTGTCCTTGGACGCGGATCCCAGAAGAAGGACGACCCGGCCCGTGTGTGCGCGCGCGGGGGGGGGGGGTGGTCCAGGGACCTCAGGCAGCCTGAACGAGACACCCTGCATACCCGGGACCCGAGGGCCGAGCGACACGAGACGTTCAGTGCCTTTCGGGTCCCGAAGATGCTCCGGAAGCGGCGAGAGGCAACGCGGATCGCAGGCCGAGAACCGACGTCGGGGGTCGGAGAGAGGCCGGAAAGTGCCCGGAGGCTGGGAATGAACCGCGGGGAGGCGAGACTGGTGCAATGACAGGCAGGAAGGGCTCGCGTCGGCCCCGGTGGCCTAATGGATAAGGCATTGGCCTCCTAAGCCAGGGATTGTGGGTTCGAGTCCCACCCGGGGTAGAGGGTGTCGACTTTTAAGTACCGCGCCAAAGGCGAAGGAAGGGGTCTCTGTCCCCTCCCACAGTTAGCGGGGCGCAGCCGGCTCCCTGCTCAAGGAGGGGCGTGCACGTGCACATGTTCAGTCTTCGGAAAAGAGTGCTTGAGACTTTTACACGATTATTCCAACCATCCATTCCACTTGGTGACATCGAGGAGTGACTATGTTTCTAGGTGTGTTAATTGCATGGTGGTCACATATATATTTTAAAAATTCTCATATTTTATGAATACACTCAGTTATGTTGAGATTAAATTGCAGGGCAACTGATTTAAAATTGTGGGCTGGCCGGGCTTGGTGGTTCAGCCTGTAATCCCGAGCCTTTGGGAGGTTGAGGTGAATGGATTGCCTGAGCCCGCGGGTTCGAGACCCGCCTGGGCAGGCGAGAACTCATCTCTACAATAAATCAAAAAAAATTAGCCAGTCTCGGTGGCTCAGCCTGTAATCCCGCGCCTTTGGGAGGCTGAGGTGAGTGGATTGACTGAGTCCGCGGGTTCGAGACCCACCTGGGCAGCGAGACCTCATCTCTACAATAAATCAAAAAATCAGCCGGGCATTGGTAGCGCATGCCTGTAATTCCAGCTACTTGGAAGGCTGAGGCGGAAGGATCGCCGGAGCCTAGCAGGTCGAGGTTGCGGTGGCCGGGAGCGGCCATTACACTCCAGTCTGGGCGACAGTGAGACTCCAACTCAAAAAATAATAATAATAAATAAATAAAATAAAATTGTAGGCTTAATGGAAGCATAACTGAAACAAGCTTATCCATGAGTAGATGGCGGCGTCACGGAGAACACAATGGCACATTATATAGTATTTTCTCTGTTTTCATACGTTTGATATAGTCTGTAGTATTCCTTTTTTTTTTTTTTTTGAGTCGGGGTCTTACTTTGTTGCCCAGACTGGAGTGTAGTGGCATGATCACGGCTCATCACAGCCTTGACCTCATAGGCTCAGGCGATCCTCCCACCTCCACCTCCCGAGTAGCTGGGACTCCAGGTGTGAACCACCATGCCCGGCTTATTTTTTATTTTTGTAGAGACGAGGTCTCACTCTTTTGCCCAGGCTGGTCTCGAACTCCTGGGTTCAAGCAACCCTCTTGCCTCGGCCTCCCAAAATGCTGGGATTACAGGCGTAAGCCACCACACCTTATGGTATTCTTTTATAAAAATTCAAGCAAAGCAAACCACAACTTCATCCTCAAGGTAAATGCAATTAACCGCCCGATACGAAACCATCCTCAAGGTAAAAATTTCCCAAACTGCAAGATGTGGTGTAGAGTAAAATCAGAAGCCTCCCATGCCATATGTCCCCAAGGGGACCACTGTCAAAGCGCGTCATACATACACATAAAAATACAGTTCTCTTTTGCTCTTAAAACCCGTGGCTAAGCCGGGCTTGGTGGCTCAGCCTGTAATCCCGCGCCTTTGGGAGGCTGAGGTGAGT